AAAATAAAAAAAAAGAGTAAATTTAAATTACCTTCATCTAAACGACGTCCATTTTACGTCCATCTCCATATAAACTGCTTATATTTTTAGTATACCAAAATTAATAATAAACAATAAAGGAAACCATATGAATCTATTTTTATATTTTCTTACATGTATAACAAAAATAAAGTCATTTCTTTTATAAAAAATATAATTATATCGTTACTATTATTATTACTATTATATCCTGAACAAAAATTCAATTATCCTGACAGGTGGTAAACGAGTTGATTTTGAAATTTCAATTATATTTCTACAAGATACTTACATTTAATAGTATATAATATTATAAGAATGTATTTTACCACTATACAAGTAGGTATGCAATATTTAATATAAGATCTCTTACATAATAATCATATATTTTGTGTCCATTTTAACTGGTATATTGAGTACAGAGGTATTATTGTTATTTTGTTTCACAGGAAATATATTTATTTATTTTTTTTTTTGTGTAATAACATGAAAATAAAAATAAAAATAAAATTTTACTAACTTATTTTTATTGCAATCGTTAAAACAATTTTTATTCACCAATCCTTTAATATGCACACACACAAACAATAATAATATAAAAATGTATGTATATGCTCAATATACAAAATATAAGGAAAAGCTGGAACAAAAAAATAATAGTTACGAGTTTCTGTTGAGTTTTCGTGAAAAAATAACGGGACACGTAAAATGACAAGCATTTATAATTTTTTTACTGAACACTGAAAATAACTGGGAATTGTAAATAAATTGTTGTGAGTAAATAAATTGTATTAAGTATTATATATAGACCGTGTTTATAAAGAAAATGTGTAAATTTTCCAATTGTTCGAGTTTTCTTAATAATGAGTAAAACTTAAAGGGTTCTTTGTTTTTATTCGCACTTATTATGGAAATCATTTTAAAATTTTTCCAAATTGTCATGTTAAAGCTTATAAAGAATCAATGAACAATATTGTACAAATTTTATTACCATAAAAGAAAGAAAGGAAGAAATCTAACCAATTCGAATGAAATAACAAATAATGGTGTCATTAATGTAATGATGATTATGAAGGCTTGTTATGACTTCCTTTTTGATTGGAAAGGAACTTCGATATGTCAATTATATAACAAATATTTTTAAAATTGAAAAAAAAAATGTACCAGGAAATAAACTTTAATCGGTGTTCAAGGTATATTGTTTGGAAATTAAGGAAATATTGTAAAAGGAGTTAACAGTAAATAAAATTACAATAAAATAATGTAGGAAGAAAAAACCACACAGTTAAATTATATTCGTATATTAACTGAAGAACAATATCTCCCGAATTTTCTTTGTTATTATTATTCGATTTAATGATATTTCCTTGATGATTAAAATTCTTAATAAATAAGATATTTTATGATTGTTCATAACTACTTAATTATTTCCTTTTACAAAATTATATGAATATGGTTTTATTCCTTTTCCTTTAGGATAATTATTTTAACAGTGCTTTTGTTTAAAATTACCCCAAAATATTATTAAATTTATATAACAATGTTAATTAAACCCAAATTTATTTTCAATACCTTATTGTATTAGAAGCTGCTCCATGTAATGAAAATATGTTTTTCATATAGATTTTCACGGTAGATTTTAGAAATCATAGCAGTATTTTAAAATATAATAATTTAGAAAACATAATAATTTTAACAATAGCATTAAAATTATTAATTAAAAATCATATTACAGCCAGTATAAAATTAATCTGGTATGGTGTGAAATTCTTAAGGCGATTGTATTAATATCCAAATTCGTTGGTATTGCTAATAAAAATTTTAAATTGAAATTTAACATGGAAAATTACTTGATATAATTGGAAAATTATTTATTTTATTAAAATTTTAAATAAGAAAATATTATAGAAAATATTAGCTTCAATTCGAATTTCAATAAGCGCAATTTATATCGTGCGATATTATTGTATGCCATGGTTTCTTATGAGTTTCGTAAGTGAGTTTCGTACGAGAAACATTTGCTTAATTTAGAGCTGTAGCTTTGAATTTTTAGAATATTAAATTACTATGACAAATTTTTAAAATTATTGTAAATTATTGCTAATACGAATTCCTAATTCGATATAAAAATGGAAAAATGAGAGGTTACTTGCCCTATTACAAAAAATCATGAAGACAAAGTATCAGACATTCAATAAGTTCTCCAAGTTTGCCACCATCTTAGACTAGATTATGATCATTTTAGTTTGGAGTAATTTTTCTGCTCTATTTCAATTCTGATTAGATTACAATTCTAAATTAAAATACAGTATTTTCGAACATGTTTTACTGTTTTCTGCTGAAGTCAGTGTTGTAGCACTCATTACCATCCAATTAAATCTAAAATTTCGTGTGAAATTGAATTAAAATCACATTACAAGTATAGAAATGTTAAATAATTGTAACATTTTAAAAATTTACCTCAATTGTACCATAAATTATAATATCAGACCAATTTTGTTTGACCCAAAATAAATTTTTTTATATGCCCTTATCATTTTAACTCATTTAATTTTTGACATTATCCTCATGGGATTCTATAATAATATATCGGTTTCAATTTACATAAAAAAATATTATATCATCATAAAAATAGGTAAAGTCGTATACCCTTTATGTAATTTTATGAATAGGTATACCTTAATTCACATATAACATTATTAAAATTATTAAATTTGGACATCAAATATCCAGACAACAAACACCATATAATATATAAACCCTTACATATACTACAATTTATTTAAAAAGTCTTCACATTAAATCACTAATAATATTTTGTTATCCTTTTCAAGAGTTTTATTTTTATATTGTTTTTGTTTCGCATTCTTAAAGCCTTTAATTAGGAAGGACGGACTTCACCAGAAATTTTTTTGTTCTATATAATTATATGCTGCTGTCTGATCATCTATTAGAAGTTATAAAAATTTATGTTTAGTACTACAAGTATAACATTTTGTTTTTAATAAAAATATTTTGTATAAACACAAGCACGTAATATTAAAGAACCTTACAAGAATCATCAGAAATTTAATATACTAAACTTTTATACTTACATAATACATATATAGAATTTAAAAACCAATAGTATATGACTATTATTGTTATTAAGTGTATAATATGTCGAAAAGGATAACACGATGATGAACTTCAGAGAAAAATGCTTTTTTTTTTTTTTTGAGAACTTTCAGTGTTATATAATAATAATTCTAGTATAATACTTTTTTTATTGATTTTCCTTATGATGATGATGATGATGATGATGATGATGATGATTGTGATGAGTGTTGTTGGGTTATTGTTTTCTATCTCTTTCTATTTCAAACGCACTAGTCTCCTATTATCTAATATTCTTTTTTTCTTTATTATTATTTTTGTTATTATTATTATTACTCGTATATGTTAGAGAATATTATTTTTCTCTTTTCTTTTTTTCTCATATTTTTTCCTGTTTTCAATGCTTTCAATAATGTTCTCATTTTGTTCAAAGAATTATTCAATATCCATGATGGCTCAGCTGGGGAATTATTTTTTCTAATAAAAAGTGAACGTGATCTGTTTGACCAAAATATTGTATTGACGTGAACTTCATATATAAAATGTATATAGATGTGAGTATGTCATAGTTTGTGTGGGTGTTGGATGGGAGAACATAATATTTGTTTGTTCTCACATAAATGTACTAAATTTTTTGTTATTTTGTGTTTTTTTTTTTTTTTTGGTTTTTGTTCTCTTATATGATAAGCCCTACTGACATTCATCAGAAAAACAGATTTACGTATTATAAACATTTTATATGTGAAGAGAAAGTTGGAACCTGTTGTTTTTTCGGTTTTCTACTTACTTTTGTTTTCTAGTTTGTTTTTCTTTTTTTTTATTTAAGTACATGTGTATTAAAAGTGAAGTGAAATAAATAATGTCTCTAGAAAGAGATGGGTAAGATGTTAGAGAGTTTAAGTAAAAATTGACTAATTCGTAGTCTAGTATTTACGTCCGATATTCTATAAAAGAAAAACCTCTGACTTGATTTCAAATATTTATAGTTTCATATGAAGGGCACTAAAATGCATGAATAGAACTTTTCTATTTTCAAAATAATCGCCTAGAGAATAAAAATTTACGATCTCTTAATTCAATTGTTAACAGCATTTCTATGGGAAAAAAATATATTGTCAAGCAAACTATTAATTGACTGTCACTATTAATTGGTTAGATCTCGAATATTTAAAGTCAAATACTCTTTAGAGCTACTCGAAAGTAGAACTCGTCACTGCTTTGTTAAATATAAATTAGATCTTAGTAATTTCATTGATTAAGTCCGCAAATGTCATTAACAATTTAATAAAAAACTCTGATGAAAGAACATGAATATCGCCCTAATTTAGAACAGAAGTGATTTAAAACAAACTTCAAAGTCATCTGCGGGGACAATTTCTCAAATATGAATATTCAATTTTCTGAATTAAAATATTTAGTAGCTGTAGCACAACGGTGACCAGTACTAATATACGAACATCATCCCTCAATAAATTATATTATATATTCTTTTCTATATGTTTTATATTTAAAAATATATGTATATGTATGTATACTATGTATACATGCACATGATATGTTTTAGAATATTAAAATATTACATGCTCTGTTGTTGACATAATTTAAAATTGGCTGTTTTGTGTCATATTATAATTGAAAATGATTATATAACAAAAATATACAGAAATTATTGAATTTAGAAAAAAAAAAAGTATAAACGACAAGTCTGATATAAAAACTGGAACATTATCTAATTTTACATACAAACATTTAACAAGCACCTATACATACATGTGAATCTGTAAACTACATGTTTGCTTATAGAAATTTTTAGATCAAAAATTCAATAAAAATAATATTGATACTTTGATATTATTCATAAAAGGTGTTTGATATGGTCATAAGATATGGGTGAGATAAAATGATTTGATCACTTCATGAAAATATGATAATGTTTGTTTTATAAGAGTGTGAGCACACACTGTTGGATGAGATGAAACAGTTCTTTTGCTACTACAAAATGCTTTCAAATAGTATTTTTTTTTCGGTTGAATAAAAATAATAAGATATTTTGTATGCAGACATTGTATTTTTTGTTGTTCCAAAAGTTCCAAAAAAAAAAAAACAAAGCAATGGAAAATCGAGTTGAATAAAAAAATTTTTTTTTTTCTTATTTTTTACTTTTACTCTCAATTTTTGTTTTTAAGTGAATTTCAATAATATTTTTTGTATAGACTTTAATTTTGTATAGAAATTGTTGCTCCTTCTTAAAACTTTCAACAACTTTAATATCAAAATATGATTTATTTTAAGGATTAAAAATAAAAAAAGTAGAACCTCTGTAAATCGACCACTCAATTTACAGGCAAGAAAACAAAACCGAACAAAAACGAAGATGGCAATTTCTTTTAATTGTTTAAGTACAGTGTTTTCCTTAATAATAATATGTAAATGGCAAAACATAGCGATCAACTTAAGGAATATAGAGGTGGTCTCTTTAAAGAGGTATTTTTTTGTGTAATAAACGAACTTAATGCATAAGGCCGGTGAAACACTGGTCGAGTTATGAAATTAGTCTCGTTAAAGTAGGGAAAAACATATAGAGGTTTTACTGTACCATTTAATTGCCTTTAAGATATTTTGAACTCAAGTGAAAATTTTCCACCATAAATTAAATATGAAATATGGAATACACGAAAATTATTGAAAAATTTTAATACTGCAATTTAGAAAAAATTATTTTGAAACGAAGGTCTCATAAAATTTTCAAAATTTGAATTTATAAAAAATTAAAGAAATGAACCAAATTATTTTTTTCTTAAACAGTTGAAGAAAATCAAATTATTGGCAAGAAAAACGACGAATAAATTTCATATATTGTGGTCTTATATTCTTAAATCATGGAACCCTATCATTTTTCAACAAAAATTACAAAAATTTTCCATGCTTCAATGTTACTTGTTTTGTATCATTTCATAACTTTTCATTTCGTTTGTCTATTTTGTTAACAAATTGTTAACAAAGCCATTACCTTACATTTTATGGGTAAATTTCTATACAACATACACAACTCAATTTTCTTTAGATACACTCAATATCCCTCAAATATTGTTCATACTTCAGAAAATTTCGTACTAAATAAAATCTTTTAAAATAAAAATATAATGCTGTTGCCAAAAAATCAATTTACTAAATGCAAATATTCTTTATGGAAAATATAATTATTTGATTTTTAAGAATTTTAATTTAGTTCCTAATAATTAAAAATATTAAATTTCCTTTTTCCTCAATTTTCGAAATATTCCAACCAAAATATTATTTAATATTTCAGCTACTTAACATTAATGTATTTGTTAGTAACCTATAAAACCATAAGCCAGCAATATTTCAAGTTTTGAAGAAGGTCAGTTAGTGTAGTATGTTTTCAATTGAAAATATTGAATCGATTTTCCGTCTAAACCAGGGATGGGGAACCTTTTCTCTATATAAGGCCAAATTTTAGTCAATGCAAAGTCAATCAGGCCGCAAAGTTTAAAAAAAGTCCAAAGGTTATAAATTTTTGCTTTGTGTAGGTTGATGAAAACAAAATTATGTCAGAATATAAAAAATAACATAAAACAGTTTATTTCATAAATAAAAATAGATAAGTAAGTATGTACATTATTAATAAAATAATATGGTTCATTATTTCAATGACTTTTCTGTGATTGTTTGTTGCTCGATAACAATTTTATATTTGGTTCCAGCCTCGTTTGGCAGCAAAATTTTAACTTTTAAGAAATATAAGAAATAAATTTTTTTAAGGACAAAGGCCACTAAAAAACAGTTAAAAGGCCGCATGCGGCCTTAAGGCCGCAGGTTCCCCATGCCTGGTCTAAACTATTGTAGAAATAATGAATTCTGTTTAAAATACATAATTTTTCCGTAAATTTTCTTGTTTTGGTAGAGAATTTTCCTGAATATCTACTTTACGAAAATTTCCTTTAATTTAATTAAAAATAAAACAAGAAGAAAATATTTTCCATATTTTCTTAAAAATTGTATAATAACTGACTTCGGGCAACAAGAATAATAAAAGAAAATTATATTAAATTTTAAATTCAATTATTTTTTTTTTTTTTTTCGTTTTTCCATTTTCCTCAAAACAATGATAATTTCATTAAATTCATAAGTACTACTATGGAAAATTATATTAAATTTCAACTAACTGAATTCGATATGGTCTGGTATACATTTCTCTTTCGTTTAAAAATAATTGACTTTTATTTAAACAATAAACTCTAAATTCAAATTATGTTTCATTTCTAATTTAGGCAATTATTGTATTTTTACAATTGGAGAAAAAAATAATGTAAATATCACCAAAATGAGATAAAAAACAAAAATATATTTTTATACCAAATAAATTCGAAAATCGTCTATAAATTTTCCTTCAAAGTTGGCAATTAAATATTGTTCGCCTTGTCCAATTCCAATATTTTCTGCTAAATTCTTAATAAAATTGACTTTAAAACTATAAGAATTGAAACGTGTGCCATGAATACTGCACCGACACAATGAAAATGCGCTGACAAATTTTTCGAAATTTTATATGAAAAATTTGAAAACTTATTTTAAATACTAATTTTAAATACAAATTACTATACTATTGTTTATTAAAAAATCTAGCTGGAAAATCTCTACAATGTCAAAATAGAAATTTGAACAAAGTTGACAGTTTTTCAAAACAAATTTTTGCTCCATCTTGGGTTGGAAATTATCCTTTTTAACTCTTGTTTAAGTTAAAATAAAATTTGAAGTATTTCTCTCCTAAACAGTCATCTAGACGGCCTAATTGTCCTGCCGAAGGCACGTCAATCTCCACATGGCTTTGAAATTTTCATAAAATTTTCTAAGATTAAATCTAGAATTTAAATTTTGGAAATTTTAAATATACACAAAATTTTAAACTCTATAAAAATTATTTTTATTAAAATTATAAAATAAGCAAAATTTTCATTATGACCAATTAATATTGTGTTAATCTAATTTACCCAAGGAAATTCTTTTAATATTATTATTTTTTAAATAGCTGTATACACACATAATATTTACATATATTTCATATTATTATTTCTGAATATGATTTTTATATTTTCATTTGAATGTGTGACCCAATTAACACTTTATTAAAATTTATTTATTTTTTCCGCTAAAAATTCCAGTACAAATATGTTATTATTATTTGTGAATTTGTGTACATGGAAAACAACAAAATATCATTTGGCACAAATTTAGTTTGTTTAATTTTAAATACACAACCCATAATACATGGAAATATTAATGGAATAATATTCTTCGAATTTAATACAATAATGTTAATATTTGATGAAAAACGCTTCAAGTTATAATCATAACTAGATAACTAATAAAAATATTTAGTTAGTAAGTCTATACACTTAACATAATTGTAACCCCAATTATTATTGTACTTAATTGAATAAATTCATAGAAAAATTTAATTTAGATTTATTTGATTATTAATATTTCGGCATTTAAACTGAAAATTAAAATATTTATGATGATTGTTTATTAAGAAAAATCCAATTCAAAATAATATATGAAAAAAATTTATTTAATTTTCATTATTATTATTTTGTTTGTTAATATTTCCCAAAGATTTATTAAATTTAATTGATATTATTAATGTTATATTTTAGTAGTACAAGATAGTACAAAACTTATATTGGTCCGATTGCTGCTCTACTAATAATTTTAATGAAAACGAATGATGTTGAAAATTTTAAATAATTATGATGGTAATGGAGAAATTAATTATAAAAAATTAAAAATATTAAAAATTTTGTATAACAGAAACCAAAATTTTTTTATTATAAAAATTTAATTGACACCATCACCTGCTTTCAAAAAATAATATTTGAATACAATCATCACACTGCTTATTTCATATGGCATTTTATTGAAACAACAATAATATTGGGACTTATTAAATAGAATTGCTTTCTTACATAGACTAATGAATATTATATTGCAAATGCTTATTTCGGAAATTGAAAAACAACTTTATTTGTTTAAACAGGCTTTCTATATTGAGAAATAATTTCTATATTGAAATTGTGTTTTTTACCATAAATATTTATTTATTAAGAATGCAATAATCATTTTAAACTAATATTGTCTATTATTATTTGCTAACTAATTACGTATTTATTGTATTTCTTCATTAACCATGTGAAATAATACGAAAGGCTTATTTCTTGATAGGAAATAATGTGCAGCTACTGAAAATATGAAAATGAAAATATTTCTGTTATTTTATAAGATTCCGTAGCTTTTAGCATATATTCAAAGCTCATATAATTATCAATGTATTCTCTTCAATACTAAATTTCTATCACAACAATTTTCACTCAGGAAATTACTATTTTTCCAATCATTATAAAATTTAACAAAATTCGTCCTTGCAAAAGCCTTATGTTACACTATATTTTATAGGTTGAAATTCTTAATAAAAAAAAAGGCATACATTCTCTGCTCACTCCTTCAAATTAATCAAGAATATCAACAGGACACAAAATTACAATATAATATTCATGATATCCTTTTTAAAATTAAGTCAAATTTTGTTAATAAATTTCAGAATTAATGAAGTTTCAAGAAGTTTATTATTTACTAAACAATATAACAAGAAAATTATTTTGGATACGACATTTAATTTTTAGAAGAAAAAAAATCCTTATTATTATTTTGATTTCTTGTGTCCTCAAATAATATAGAATATTAAAAATATTAGTAAGGAAATTGCAAAAACAAAAACAGAAAAACACTCAAAAATAAAGGATTGAATTATATTAAAAAAGATTATGATTAAATTATATCAAATATATCAAAAAAACAAGAAAATTGTATAA